CCCACAATACCCATTGGATAGGAGGCTGTGTGGGCTCCAGATCTTGTCATGCCATGAATCGAACCTGTACCATCCTGCCTGTAGCCCACTGTTATACTGACTGAGCTCCACGGACTCCTAAACTGGAGACAGTGGCATACAAAATTAAAAGCTCAGACAACCAAAAATACTTGACTCCTCAGAGCACATGAACTAGTTCGGGGAGAGGATAGAGAGTGCGGGATAGAACAGTCCATCGGACGACGTTATAAGAATAATTGTATTTGTGAGTGTAAAAGTGAGTGTCCAATAAACATATTCACGTTACCGCAAACCAACATAAATTTTCTTGCCACGTTACCTAGCAAACACGTGACAGTATTCACGTTTTCTTCCAATATATGAATATCTTCAGCACAGACAAGAAGCTGATGTGTCACATCTAGAGGCAGTACAAGCCTAGTTTCCTTGCACCATCTGAATGGCACATTCAAAAGTAAAGTTCAAAGGTACCTCCTCCTTTCACACCTGAAACCCCGCCTTCCTTTCTCTTTAGTGGTTCAAAACACATTCTAACTTGAGTGGAAAACATTTCTAGACAGGCTTTTCAGATATGCATGATTGTAAATGTCTCACAAGCCTATCTTTACGTGGAAATCCTTTTTCACAAATGCCACATTTGAAATTTGTATCAGTTCTATGTAATCTCTGATGAGTCCGAAAAGATCCTTTATGTGAAAAACTTTTGCCACAAGTGAAACATTTGAAAGACTTGTCACCTGTATGGGACACTTCATGTGTGAGCAGATTTCGTTTCCATGAGAATGCTTTTCCACAAACAGCACATTTGAAAGGCTTGTCACCTGTATGAATTTTCTGATGACTCATGAGGTTCCCTTTCCATATGAATGTTTTTCCACACGTAAAACATTTGAAGGGTCTGTCACCTGTATGTGCTTGCTGGTGTGTTACAAGTCGTGCTTTCCATGAGAATTCTTTTCCACAAACAAGGCATCTGAAAGGCTTATGGCCTGTATGTGCTACTTGATGTGCCATACAATTTCTTTGACATGAATATCTTTTCCCACAAATGCCACATTTGAAAGGCCTTTCACCTGTGTGGGTTCTCTGATGTATCAAAAGACGTGATCTGCGTAAGAATGGTTTCCCACAAGTAGAACACATGAAACACCTTTCACTTGTATGAGTTCCCTGATGTCTCACAAGATTTTTTGGACGTGAATATCCTTTCCCACAAATGTCACAACTGAAAGGTGCGTCACCCGTATGTCTTCGCTGATGAATCACAAAATCTGGATGCCGTGAATACTGTTTCCCACATGTGGAACATCTGAAATGTGTGTCCTTATGTTTCACATGCAATTCACTTTGTGAAGGCTGCACACCACTAACATCATGCTTGAATGAAGTGTCTGTGACGTGCGTTTGGCAGTGTTCAGTGAGATGCTGATGTGATGGGAACCCTTCCTTGCATATGTCACAACTCCAAACATTACCTATCTTCTTCATGATAGAGGATCCATCTTCAATCGCTGGCTTCTTGTCACTGCAAAGCAAGTGTTTCCTCTCATCAGTCATACCCAGGCAAGTTTCAAACGTTCAAGTGATAACTCCAACCCACACTTAGCGTCACACAGCATAACCTTCAGACATTTGTTGATCAGATTCTAGTTTTTGCATAATTCAACTTACATTTGTATCACAGGCAGGAATGTGAGTCTTGGTATGGAGGTAGTCACAAAACAAAAACATGAAGCAGTGTGCTTGTAAAACATACTTGAGGGAACATCATAATTAAACTGTGGTATACATAGTTTCTCATCATCAGTGCACACTTGCTAGATTTTGTTTTCAGCATAAAACGGGAACCAAAATACTTTATTTTGCATCCGCAGGCATCGGTCACATGTGTTGGGACTGCAAGTCTGCGACTGATCATCTGTGATTCTCAGCTGCAGGTCACAGACAGATCATCACTGATTGTAATAACACTAGAGCAACAAATTAAATAGGGAGAAACAGATGTGTCACATGACTCAGGAGCAAATGGGAGTGCCCTGAGGTGTAATTTTCTTGTGTAGGTTATTTAACAACACTCTACAGCGCTGTGTGATAGATAGCATGAAAGCTGAATTGGAAAAGATTTAGAAGGAAGAAGTTTTGGCCTAATCAAGGCAATTCACTGAAAGCTGGTACTGAATATGATTTCATAAAGACACTTCCAAGAGAGGAGCTGGAATAACTATTTGGATATGTTGGCCAAGACACTCTACGGACACGGAGAGGGGGCTGTGTTTAAAGCAACACTGTAACTCCATCTGGGCAGTCAATAGGAGAGAGCGAAATGGTGACAGTGGCACATGAAGTTGAAACCTCATCACACACATTATTTCTTACTGAAAACCGCCATAACACAACAATCAATAATACACGTAAGTGGCTCTAGGAGATACTTGTGCTACATGTTTTGGCCTTCAGAAAGCTATTGTCAGGCAAATACAGTAAACTTTTCTATATTGAACTGAATTACATGTATTAATGATTGTTGTGTTATGACGGTTTTCAGAAAGTGGAGAGTGGCGGGGTGATGACTCGCCTATTACGCGAGCGCTACGTTACCGCCACGTGCCGCTGGGGAGGTAGGGGTCCTCAGTTGCACAACATGTCACAATATTGTACATAACAGGATGCATTCACTGTAAACTCATTGCAAACATCTGGCAGAAATTCCCACGAAGACAACCAAAAAGAAAACTGAACTAGTTCAGGGAGTGGTATTGGTCAGAACACTAGGAGTGGACAGAAGTAGGAAGGGTGTTGGCAGCAGTCTAAACACAAGTCAAAAATAAAATACACTACCCATGCCAAATAACATGCGTCCATAACATTCACTGGGTTGAGACAGGGAACCTTAAACGCACGGGGTACTATTATGTGCACATAAGCAGAACACAAGGGTGGCATACAGGAAGGAACTACAGCTCCAGACTCCCTTGATCTGGGCAGTGGATTGAACGAGTGGTGCCAGTGATGATGAGGACGGGACTGATATCAAGTGTGAAGATGCTTGTGAACTTTCCTTCACCAGTCATGTGACATCATTAAGTTGGAGGATAACACACTGCCACATGTCACACCTGATATGCACTCTATCTGAATTTTTCCCACATGTAATGAATCTCAAAGGCTTTGCTATCAGTGTGTGTTCCTTGATAGCTCATGAGACTTCCATTATCTGATAACTGTTTCCCACAAGTGATGCATGTCATTTGTGTATCACATGTATGAATTCTCTGATGACTCAAAAATGTTATTTCTGTTTCCACAAGTAAAGCAATTGAAGGGCTTTTTATCTGTATGTGTTCCTTGATGTGTCACACAGGACTTGCTCTACATGAAAATCCTTTTCCAGCATACACATCACATTTCAATTGCCTTCCACTTCAATGTACTGTCTGATGTCTTACACACTTAGCTCTCTGTAAGGACTGTTTCCAACAAGCAGAACTTCTGAATGTCTCTCTAAAGCAAGTGTGTTCCGCGACAACGAATTTTATCAACGCAAATTTCAGACTTTCACCCACAAAGCATTTAGCATCCATCGTTCAAGGCAACACCGTCAGAACTAAGACTCACAGTTATCAACATTCGGTGGAATGTTCATACATATGTATAGTAAAATTTAGCTTTTGATATTTTTGTTTATATAATTCAATTTATAATCGTAATGGAGCTAGGAATGTAAGATTCTGTATGGACATAAATTATACATCGAAATATAAATCAGTGTGTGTCACTGTGCTGATACTGTGCTTGCATGTGTCCACTGTCAGTATACTCACCTCTCATGAATCTCATCTGTCATTTCTTCACTTGGAAGTTCAGCAGTCTCACTAGAATCACAAGACTCTTTCTGAAATACAAACAGACTAGTTCAGTTTTGCAGGAAGAAGTCTGCGCCCCTTTACCTGAGCAGATGGGATGTGCCCCACGTACATTTATGCTTCAGCGCAAGATGACGCCGCTTAATGGCATGGCATGTAAATGGGGACTCTTAACAAATATTCTTAATAAATTTGAAAGTTATGTAGTTTAAATTTGAGAAGTTGCATAGAGAACAAATTACAGACATTGAGGCAGGCAAGATTATTAGTAACACCAAAATTAATTTTGAGCTACCAACCTCAAACATTTTGGAGGGGGGGGGGAACGAATTACAGGAAAATGAAAGGGGGGATCTCTAAGAAATGGCAGCCAAGTCATATTTGGATGGTGCTCAGATCAGTGTAATCTAATGATGACTGAACATAAAAGTTATCGAGAATGAATTCAAAAAGAAAAATGCAGCAAGTCGTCAGATGTGTTTGTCACACAAAGCAGGTCCTTATTCATGTTAAATAAAAACAGGACTCACCTGGCTTTCAGACTTCACTGCTGGGAAAGTTATGACAGGACTCATCTCTTCCTTTACATCAATCAGGTCATCATAACTGTCAGCAGACACCATCCCTGTCTCACTGTCCCCGTCGGTTTCTGCCTTCACACAGTCCAGGTCTCGCTATGAGAACACAATACTGGTAAGTACCAATTCATGGCATTACATAAACAGGTACACTTAAACAGCCATCTGCTACCTAAAAAGGTAAAATTTAAAATACACACGCAATGGCAACTTGAGTTGTAGTTATTATATGCGAGTGTGACTTAAGGGACAAACACAAAATGAAGATCTTTTGAAAACTGAACGCTGAGAATAATATTTGGATGTAAGAGGGATGAAGTAACGGGTGGGAGGTCCTTACCAAATACTAAAATGATCAAATCAGGGAGTAATGAAATGGACATGACATGTAGCATGCATGGAAGTGCACACAAAGGTATGGTAGAAAGACCTGTAGGAAAGAGACCACTAAGAAAACCTAGGCATAAATGAGATGATAATATTAATATGATTGATTGATTGATTGATTTATTTCGTCACTGTAGATCATTGTACATGATATATGACAAGTCAAGTTAATTCTGAATATTAACAATTTGATATATAAGTAGATTAAAATTACAATAGTTACAATTTTTTACTGCTGATTACAATTTAGAATTAGTTAGATATTCTTATTTGTGGAGAATTTGATGGAATGAACGATTTGAAAGAAATCGGATGGTGAGTGCAGACTGGATTCAGCACTCTAAAGGTGAGGAGGGACCAGTGGTGGCCTCTTGTGAACATGGCAGTGAACTTTCAGAGTTCCATAGAATTCTGATAATACATACCTTGAATAGCTCAGCAACTATCAGCTAGTCAAGAATGGGTTAGCGACAAGGAATTCGTTTTGGCAGTAATGGGTTTATAGGCACTTAAGCTGCTAACATTGTTTGCAGGTGTCTATTGTTTATTATATATATATATATAGTGACGTGTTGCGCAATGGAGGACACCCCTCCCTCCCCAGCGGTACGTGGCGGCATTGTAGCGCTGTCATTACTATGGTACTAGGCAAGTCAACACCCCGCCCCTCTCCCCGCGGTGACGTAACATGCAACGCCGCAATTGCTATGTACCTGTAAACAACTCCCAACAGCGTTGCTACATAACAGGCAGACACTGCGACTATATAAGGGAACTACACAGCCGCTGAAGGCAGTTAAAGTGTATCAGCCAAAGTGAGTTCTCAAGTCAGCAGGGAACGAGTTAGTGTGAGATCAGGAGTGACACAGTTGAAGTATAGCAGCAGTCGCGGAAAGAAGAACCGACGTGTGTGTAATTGTGTAATTGGGAGTGTGTGATACAGTGAACTTGTATAGTTCCCATATCGAAATTAATATGTGTAGACCACTGAGGACAGAGTGAATTGATTATTGCGAATAGGGTTATAAAGTGTGAAACCCCGCAACAGTGTTGTAATTAATTGTAGCTGATACTGGTAGATTGTTAAATAAACCAATTAACAATCTGAACGGCGTCTTCAGTAACTAAACACGTTACAATATATATCTTATCTGGAGATAGGGGCTAGCTCTATCTATTGGACCCAAGTAAGTAGGTTTTACCCGAGGACGGGGACAGAATCCAGTCTCCGAAACACTGTGTTTTAAAACAAAAACAGGACTGCATGTGAATGTCACATGAGAGTCATGACAGGTTGGCAACACTTGTTTCACACATTATACACATAACTGGGTGAATCACGCAACTTCAAATGTAGCATAATGCTGTCAACAACATTGGCGCAGGAAGACAGACAAAGCATAATCTTAGAATTGGTCGCCAACACATCCATAAGGTCCAGATTTTTGGTTCTGTTTTCAAAAAGTTTGGTTTTGGTTTTTATTTTACAAATGCCGCAGCACTAACATGGCGGTAAACTTGTAAAGTTACCGGGGTCACCCATTAATACGAAAGTACCAAGTTTTCAGTTATCCTCAGTGTTTTATTTTCATCTGCCATTCACGGATAATAGGGAGACAGAATTTCTGCATCCTTTAGCTACTTTGTGGCAGTTGGCTTCCATTTCCAAATGCATGTGCTAATGGGCTATGAATATAACAGTCTGTGAAACTCACAGTGAAGATTTAACGACAACCCCATGTGAAAATCCATACGAGGGGTTAAAATTATGTAACGATGCACTTTGTCTCTTCATCTGAATATAGTCAGTCAATATTATTAACAACTTTCATATCTTAAAAGTTTCTGATGAAGAGAATTGTCTCATAACAAGTTAATTAAAATATTCACTGACAAAATTCATTCATTTCCTTTATTTTCCATATATCCATACAGGTAACAAACCTAGGATGTGGAAATGGTCCCTTTGAAAATAGATATATCAAGATACATATACAAAATTACATCAGTCACATAATTAAAATATTAATCAATTAACATAATAATATAGAATAGAAAATTTTAATAAGATGGTCTCATGTGTTTAAAAAATTTACTCTGCTGTCAATTTCTTCATAAACACAGTTATGATTTGTTGTTAGTTGTCATTCTCTGAGCTTGGGTGCTCAGTTATGCCTGTGAAATGTTCCTAACAAGGAAAACACAACTCACCTCACTTTCAGGCTTCACTGACGGGAATGTTATTAAGAGAGGATCCACTTCCTCCTTCGTATCAGTCCAGTTACAGTAACTGTCAGCAGACACCATGACTGTCTCATCATCTGCATGGGATTCTGCCTTTATGGTGTCCATGTCTCTCTGTAAGAACACAACAAAGTAAAACAGACTTATTTGGTCCACATATTTACTTACTTACGGAGCTGAGCCCTTCTTGAGGAGCCGCCAATTCTGCAGCTACTCAGGAATTTCCCAGCATCTTATGGAACCCGAAGGTTCATTACCGTGTTCACAAGAGCCCTTCACTGGTCCCTATCCTGAGTCAGATCAATTCAATCCATACCATCCCCCCCCCCCTCTCTCTCTCTTTCTAAGATCCATTGTAATATTGTCCACCCACCTATGCCTTGGTCTCCCTGGTGGGTTCTTTCCTTCTGGCTTTCTCACCAATATCCTATATGCAGCCCTCGTCTCCCCCATTTGTGCTATATGCCCTGCCCACTTCATCCTCCTTGACTTGATCATTCTAATTACACCTGGAGAAGAGTACAAGTTATGAAGCTCCTCATTATGCAGTTTTCTCCAACCTCCTGTCACTTCATCCCTCTTTGGTCCAAATATTCTCAACACTCTCAGTCTGCATTCCTCCCTTAATGTCAGAGATCAGGTTTCACACCCATACAGAACCACAGGCAAAATTACAGTTTTGTATATTCTAATTTTTATGTTTTTTGACAGCAGACGAGAAGAGAAAAGGTTCTGGACTGAATGGTAGCAAGCATTGCCCGAGTTCAGTATCCTCTTAATTTATTTTGTCCACAAATCCTCCTTTAAAAGAAGACAAACTCTGCAACATGAGGAAGTATGCTTATTCTACTCTGTTGATGAATACCTATTGTCTAGAAAATAGCTTATGTATCTTTAATGGCCTTGTGTGTAGTCACTGTGTATTCTTGGTTTTTCTTGTGTCACAACTCCATCGGGACTGTACATGTGTCTTGTATTTACATGACATATTCCACATCCTACAGTCATTTTGACTAATTATAGATCCATGGAATGTAATGTAATGTAATTTAAAGTCTCACCTTCAAACCTGAGACACCATATCAGAAGAAAAAAGTAAATGGTGACATGTTACTAACATGTAATCCAAAATAATTAGTGTGATGACTATGGTTTTCTGGGTTGTATCACCATGTGCTTCAGAGCCGAAGGCAACGCATTCTTGCGGCACTTTGGGCTTTCTCCATTATTCTGCCGCAATACAACCCAGAAAATAAATCTAACAGTTTATATATTTCGTTATGAATCTTATAACAGTTAAGAATTTTGAGTACTTCAAATTTTCTAAATGCAGTGTAAAGTACAATACATGGTCATGAAACAAGAAATTATTCATTTTCTACTTAAACATTCATGGGCACCACCACCACCCACATTTCCTGGAAGGGGCAACCAGAAAATTTGCATACAAACTTACTTTAAGCCACTTCAAACTATTTTTACTCATTTCGCCAGAGCACGGGCAATCAGATATATTTTTTTAATATTCTAGATCTTTTTTATTGAAAATGTTTCCCCCCCCCAATTTTGATTCTTTAAGAAAAATCCAAGGTGGGAGATGCTTAAGTTGCCCCCTTTCCTTACTGGCACCCATGGAAACATTTCTTATTTGTCAATTCTGCAGGGTTGTGACAATTGTGAACTACAACCAGGATTAACAAGTTTCTGGACTCTGTACATTGTCTGGCACCTGAAAGAATACAAAGTACTCAGTGGTGGACACAATCCAGAAACATAACATGCAACATGTATCAGAACTTGTCATAATTTGCAGTTAAAGTGACGTCCTAAGATTATTTCTGGGGAGGATCGGATATTCTGTAGCATGCATACTTGGAAGAAAGGTTTCTTTCTCTTCAAGACTTGGTGCACATTCGGGCTGCGCCATAGCTCAAGCGGTTAGTCGTTGGCTTCCCACCGTGGCGGCCCTGGTTCGATCAAGGGGGATTTGTGGTGGACAAAGTGGCGCTGGGGCAGGTTTTCTCTGAGCACTTCTGTTTCCCCTGCCAATCTTCATTCCACCAACTGCTCCACAATCACCCTCACCTATCATCTGGGGCTGGTAGAATAGGCCAGGAGTGGCCGCAGTACAAGGGACTTAGTGTACATTTTCTGCTTAATCTGGCTGCTGGTTATCAAACTTATAGTTCAGAAACCGGGATTCTGAAAGTGTTATTTTTTGTTACTTTCTAACACACAAATGATTTATTACAAACGCTGATGGCTGTTTAATTTTCTTCCATTAATTCTTCGCTTGTGATTAGAACTCAACGTTGTCTTTAGACTGTTATCATGTACCTGTAATTTTTACGCACACCAAAACTTTATAATTATAGTATATAATTTTATATAGCAACGGGAGCACGTGCCTCTGCCTTCCTTGGATTTGGGGGGAAATGAAACTAGTAAAAAGAGTGGCCACATATTCCGCATACACATAGTGTGACAACACTTACGTACCTAGTAGCGAACACGTCACCCATACATTCCCAAACGTCAGCACTGCTGAAATGCGTTTCGAAAGGGATAAGCCACACGCCCGAAGCGCCCGAACCTAACCACAATGTTCCTTGCGGAAGTACGTATGACACCTATACCCTGAGTTCACATGACGAAACTCATTTCACAGCTGCGACCGCTTTCATGTCATTTTGAACGTAATTGGGCTTTCTCCCTTTCATTCTGACCAACAAATATTGTATTTTCTTGTGGGTTGGAAATTCCGTCGTCCCCTACGACGTATTTACTTCCGACGGGTCAGACAAGGCGGGAAATTTTAAACTTGCTGCAGCCACCAAAAATTAAAATTATTTTTAATGTCTCTCTATCCATGCTGCAATATAGAGAGACACAACTGTAGGGCGATTCGTAATACTATCCTTGAACAGCGTGGTTAATGAGGTTCCCTATTGTCTCACCAATTGTTTGTTACCTAAATTTGTGGTATTTTAAAAGTTATGATTGATATTAAGTCAGTCTATTATAAATTTTATATTTTAATTGTGGTATTATTGCATGTGGCATAATCCTGTCTTGCTTGTTTTGTTTTGTTTTGTATCTTGTAACACACATGTATGTATATGTAATTGACTTGTTTTATTATCCCTTGGCTTGTTAAAGCCAAGTGGGATTAATAACGTGAGTAAGTTATTCTTAATGTATGTTTATTTTTATTAGATTCTTTTACCTTACATTATTATTTATGTTTATTGATTGATGTATATGATTTTGATCTTGTATATGCATATTGATATCTGTATTCAAAGGACAATTTCCACATCCTGGTTTTTTAACTTGTAGGGATATATATGGAAAATAAATGGACAATGAACAATGAACAATGAACAAACTGCACAGAGGTTGGGTGGAACTTAAAGCTCCAGTTTATATTCGTCAAGGTCTATTAACATATCTTATTATTTTGCTCTATAAATCATGCGTTTCTACACCAGTGCTGAAACTGTGGCTTACTGTAAGAAAAATTACCAGAACTAGAAACTTAACATTTTGTTTACTGACAGCAAGGTAACTGAGAGGCTTGATCATGCCACAGGCCAATTGGAGAACAGTGTCACTGCTGAGATTATAGTATTTTAGGATGTGACGCAGTGTAGACTGATGGGTAGGCGCCACAAGTTGAAACCAAGCACTAACACTACACACGACATCGACATTTTCTGGTTTCCAGAAATGAGGTTAGTTGACAATGATCGAGCACTCCTTGTATCGATACCGCTTTGTAGCTTCTGTCAATGTTCCCCATCTCCACGCCGTACTGCTTCTATCCGAGCATTTGTTGGCGTGTCATGAACAAAATTACCAGTAAAAGCCATTCCGATATTACATCGTCTCAAATCCAGTAAGTTCTGCACGTTTGTGACGCCCCCTCCAACCGATATCTGGAAAGTTGCAGGTGCAGTACGGCCGGAGCTGTGGGCGAAATGGCCTCCTGGCACAACTGCATTAGAGTTTGGTTCTGGACCGCAAGAGTTCTCCAGTTTAGTCAACAAGGAATCAGAACACCTCAGGTACCCTGATGCACTGTCCATTGCAGGTTGTCCACAGGTTTCCGTGACTGGGGAATACGTCGAGTAGAATGGTCAAGGATGTCCAGTTTTGCAGCCGTTAAGGCGGCGTAGTCCCGAAAGCCGAAGTCATGTAATATATTTCACTGTCCATTTAAGACAAGGAATGAAAATTTCATGCAGCAGACATGAACATAGGACTCCCGACGTTTCTGTTATACAGTATATTCCACTCATTCAGACTTCTATAAAATCCTGGGTAAAGCTGTCCCTGTGCTTAACTAATTGAGCACTACGCCATGAAGACGAATGGGGAAGTGGAGGAGGTATAACTCCACGTATTCTTGACTTCGACACTAGTCGTAGGGGAGTGGTCAGCTTCACGCCCCGGTTACTTTGCCCCCGAGGAAATAGGTTCTGCTACCGATTGGATAGGAGGTTCAGTGGACATCGGAGCTGGTCTGGACGACGTGGAGATGAGAAAATGTTGTGCCTACCGGGACTCGAGCTCCGACCCTTCGGCCGCTATACCGACTGCCCCATCGTCTACACCGCTGGAAGAGATGTGAATGATGACACTTACTAGGATTGTCATCGGCAGTAGTATGACGGCCAGAGCTGCCAGATGGATCCGATGGGCCCTGTTACAGTGTCCAGGTTCGCCGTTGGATACGCTTGCAGCTTCTGGTTGAGGGCAGGCAGTGTGGCGTCTCTCACTGTCAGGGTTCCGAAGGATTTCACTTTACACCGTTCGATATTATTTTACTGCTACTATGCCGCCACGTCACAGTCATTGTTGCCGTTACTTAACCTCAAATTTGGACGTTTACACAAATGTCATGACATATTTTACGAAATTCCGTTCAGTGATTCTGAAATTATTTCATATGTACAGACGGACGGTCAGAACAATTTTATTAGACGCTTCACAGGGGCGCGGAAGCGCGCGCGCAAAAAAAGAAACAGTTTCACTGCCAGTTCTGTGTTTCTTACTGTGGCCGTAATATGGAACATATGGAACGTCCAAAGATACTATGAAGTACACTCTGCGATCTTGCCAGTGTGTACGGTAGCCACGGCTGTTAAAGCGATGCGCAAATGTTGCGGTGGAGTTCCCAGGTGCGATTGTAATCCTCATTCCCAATCCTTTTATCTTTTTCGAATTTACTTTGTCATATGTCAGAAAGTACTGTGACAATGGCAAACATCGGTTTCGAAACTATGACAGATTTACACGTTTTCAGGCCTCCAGTTCCCCCCCCCCCCTCCGGAATACGAGGACGAAGTTTTGGAATGTATGTTTCCGCCTTACGTGCGTCTTCGTAGCTTTTCCTTCGTATTCCGTATTGAGAGCCTATTCGTCGCCCCTGTAGGCATGAACATTCTAGTTCGTAAAATTTGGGCCCATAAAACAAAATAATGATATTCTGGAAAATGGGTATAACGGTTTTCATTAAATTTCAATGCTTTTTGGAGACAGTTTTCCTGAATATAACTGCACGGGCGACATCTTCAGGGAAATAACAGCGGAGCAGGAGGGGCCCAAACGGGATTAACGGTCGGGTGGATTTAGTTACTGCTCGCAAGTCAGCTGCCAGCAAGAAGCGCCAGTACCGCGGACCTCTCAGAGAACACCCACATTCACTCCGTGCTCTTGCCAGAACGTACAGTAACCACGTGCGGCTGTTAAAACGATGCAAAGTGTTGTGGCAGGTTTTTTGAGTGCATTTCAAATTCATATTCTTTTAGTTACATGAGTATAGGCCGCCCCATAGCTGAAGCGGTTAGTTGCTGGCTTCCCACTGCGGTGGCCCTGGTTCGATCCCGGGTCTGGTCAAGTGGGATTTGTGGTAGACAAAATGGTGCTGGGGCAGGTTTCCTCCGAATACTTCGGTTTCCCCTGCCAATCTTCATTCCACCAAATTCTCCATCATCATAATCACCCGGGGCAGGTACAGTAGGCCAATCAGTGGCCGCCGTGCCGAGTGGACCCAGTTGGACTCCACCCCCAACTAACCTAATTAGATGAGTATACTTTAATTTCTTAATTTGAATGTCATTTCTCCTTTAAATTTGTTGATGCTGTGTAGTGACATTGACAGGGTCACATGGCGGAAGTTAGAAAGAGACAAGTGTGTGAAAGAGGAAAATGCACACCGTACAAGAAGAGTCATTGGGGTGGGGAGGGGGGGGTAGTGCGGCCGTGAACATTCACGCCGCCGGCCTTGTGAGGCTGACACAACACTCAGCGCTTCTCTGTGACGTAGTGCACTAATCGACTTGTCGGCCTTGCAAACGGAAACGCGCGCACGAGCTCCACGTAGCAGTCCTTGAGAAACTGATTGTCGCTCAGCTGTTGGAGCGAAATCACCCTGACATGGGTGACTTAATATCCGGCGTCTTGTGACTTGTTTTCAGGGGGCACCCGGTTCGAATGTCAGCCACGACACTCACTATCCTGACACGGGTTTCTTGTGGGTTTCCTCAGTCTGCTACCTTTCCTGCTTTCCCCCCCCCC